CACAGGTTGCCCTCGCGCTGTGGACACTGTCTCCTCACTGACAGAGGCACCTGGCCAGCAACTGGGAGCTGCATGAGGATGACACGCTGCAGAGCTGGGGCGTCAGGAGGGAATGTTCGCACATTCATGTCACTTAACTGTAGCTGCTGCCAGCAGCTCCGAGTCTTTCTCAAATAGGATCCATTGAAAGAAAATAGACTGCTGTGTGTGTTATAAAAATTAGTACTTTTTATTTATTTTTAAAGTTTACTTCAAGGAGAAAGCGTGGAGGACAGACTTCCCAGTCTCTCCAGGGTGACTTCACCGCCTCCCAGGGACGTGGGGACGGGCCTAGCGAGTCAGTGACCCAGGGGAGGAGACCGCTGCTCCCTGACCTTCAAGGGACCCGGGGAGCGGGGACCCAGGCCCTCGGGCGATTTCGCACCTTTTCCGGCTTTTCATTTCCTAAGAAATGACTCTAAATGTGCTCAGAGCGTCTGGGCAAGAACTGGAAGCGAGGCGGTTCCTCCTGCGCCTGGAGAGGAAGTCGTTGGTGAGTGAAGGGCTGGTCCCACAGGTCCCCAGCCGCCCACACAGTCACAGGAGGGACCTGTCACTCAGGAGGCGGTGGTTCTGCCTCCACACAACCTGCCACCTCCCTGTGGTCAAAGGGCTCCGCTCTGCCTTCTCCCCTGCCCTGGCCCTCCTCTGGGAGAATCCCGAAGCTCGCTCTGCTGGAACTTTCTGAGAAGGGAACACACTCTAAGCCAGTGGTTTTCAACCTTCCTAACGCCGTGACCCTTTAATACAGTTCCTCATGTGCTGACCCCCAATTTCACTGTTACAAACTGAACATAATTAAAGCATAGTGATTAATCACAAAAACAATATGTAATTACATGTGTGTTTCCCGATGGTCTTAGGCGACCCCTGTGAAAGGGTCGTTCAACCCACTGCCTAAGCCTTTCTCCCAGCCCTCCCCTCTCCCCACAGGTGGCCTGTCTCCGGCCTGACAGCCCCTCCCAGTTTCTCCCCGGCCCATCCTCCGTCCTCCAGGAAAGCTCTGCCCAAGCCTCAGCTTCTCCCGGAAACAGCCAGCGCCACCCCCTTGTGAGAGACCATCATGTTTACAGCACAGTCCCACCTGCAAGGACCTGTCAGGGTGAAATATTTGAAATTGGCAAAAAAAAAAAAAAAAGGAAAGAAAAACACTCGCATCACAAAGGAACGAGGTCAGTGACTGAAACTGCTGGAAGGTAGGGGCTGGGAGACTCAGGCAGGGGAGGAAGCCCTGGGGGGCTGCACAGAGGAGGGGGCTGGTGGTGGGTGTGGCCAGCAGCCACCCTGACTCCGCTGACGCTGCAGAAAGGAGCCGCCTCCTGGGGAAGGAACACCTGCCGCTCACCTAGGGCAGCGCAGAGCCGCTGGGGAGCCCGGGAGCCCGGGAGCCCGGGAACTGAGGCTGCAGGCATCCTGGCCGCAGGCTCTGCAGGCAGAGGAGTCTGCAGCAGCAGAAGGGCAGGGGAGGCACCACTTGAAGACTGGGTCAGGCAGTATTTGACCTTTTTAAATCTCAAAAACGGCAATGCAGCCCTGGTCGGGGCTCAGTGGTTAGAGCGTCGGAGTGTGGACTGAAGGGTCAAGGGTTTGATTCCCGGTCAAGGGCACCTACCTCAGTTTCAGGCTCAATCCCTGGCCCTGATCGGGGAGCATGCAGGAGGCAACCAATCAATGTGTCTCTCTCACATTGATGTTTCTCTCCCCGCTTCTCCCTGCCCTGCTCTCTCTCTAAAAAAAAATCAATGGAAATACATCCTCGGAGAGGGTTAACAGCTATGAAAAACTGGAAACATATTTAGACTTTACCTAAAAGAAATGAAGCAATCAGCACTATGCAGTTAGCACTTTCCCTCCTGCCTCTGCTCAGGGGCCCGGGCAGGGCTCCTCTGAGGATGAGCCCGGGGAGCAGTGGCAGGAGCTGCGTGAAGCTGGCAACCTGGTTTGAAATGTGTGATTAATGCTCGCCACATTCCCCTCGGATCCCCGCCCCTCCCTCCCCACACTGCCTTGCTACCACCCTGGTGTGCGGGTGGCAGTCCCGAGGAAGGAGAGAGAGGCCAGGAGCGAGACAAACTCTGTGTCGAGGGCTGACTTTCAATAGATCACAGCGAGGGAGCTGCTCTGCTACGTAGGAAACCCCCATTCAGAAGCAGGTCGTCTACGAATGGCTTAGCACCAGGTTCACCAGGAATGTGCATTGCATGAAGAGCAACAGGCCACACTGGGTCAGTGAAAAAACGATCAGAGTAGTGGTATTTCACCGGCGGCCCGAAAGGCCGGCGTGCCCCCCTCCCCGCCCCCTCGTGGGGACTCAGGGAAGGGGTGCAGGGGGCCTCCCACTTATTCTACACCTCTCCTGTCTCCTCACCTGCCAGACCAGAGTCAAGCTCAACAGGGTCTTCTTTCCCCGCTGATTCCTCCAAGCCCGTTCCCTTGGCTGTGGTTTCGCTGGATAGTAGGTAGGGACAGTGGGAATCTCGTTCATCCATTCATGCGCGTCACTAATTAGATGACGAGGCATTTGGCTACCTTAAGAGGAGAGTCATTACTCCCGCCGTTTACCCGCGCTTCATTGAATTTCTTCACTTTGACATTCAGAGCACTGGGCAGAAATCACATCGCGTCAACACCCGCCGCGGGCCTTCGCGATGCTTTGTTTTAATTAAACAGTCGGATCCCCTGGTCCGCACCAGTTCTAAGTCGGCCGAGGCAGGCACTGTGCGGAACCTCGGCCCCGGGGCAGGAGAGACCAGCGAGCGCCAAGAGGCAAGAGGGGTGGACACCCGACATCACCCCAGGCCCGACCAGCAGCTGGGGCGATCCATGGGAAGGGCCCAGCTCATGGCCAGAGTCTCTACCACCGCGGCCTTGGCCACTGCTGCTGCCGGGCCCCCCAGGTGTCGGGGCCCCGCCGGGGACCTCCCCCTGCCCCAATGCGGGGGAGGGGGAAGGGGCCGGCTGGCCCCCCTCCCCAGGGAGAGGGAG